TTTTCTGTAAACTGGTAATTAAGTATAAATGCTTGATTTGATTCAGGTTCAGTTTTTAGCTAGACTACTTCATAGGTAGTGGTGTGCACTTCCATCAAAAGCTACATAATGTTCATGTGTTTCTCTTCTTTGTAACATTAATGGCTATTGGTGATCATTACCTATATTCATGATGTCATTGAGGGTTTGCAAAATGGTGATACTTGTCATTCCTATTAGCTAATTGGTTATCTTGAGGAATGTTTGTAAAGAAAAGCAGATTGAATGCTTGTTTCTTAATATTTACCAGTTTTGGGCGTAATTATCCCACATCAACTATTTTGTTACCCCAAAGTACAGTACATTTAAGAAAGATAAGTGTAATGCTTCGTTTGATTCTATTTAAGACTTTTCAGGAAAATTAGCTGGTTCATTCATATTCTCTAATGATGTTTCTTTTCTTACCTGTTCCCACCACCTCCCCAAGATAAGTAAGCAGTTATGAATTTTATCATTATAAATTAGCTTTTACCAGATTTTTTCTGAATAGCAGATTCTTATACAGAGAGAACTGGGACTAAATGTACACTTATGGAACATTCTCTAGACACTGGGCTAGGTGCTCAGACACTATTTTATTTAATTCCCTCAGCAGTCTGGGGAGGCAGGTGCCTTGGTCTCGGTGTATTAGAGGACTTTGAGGTCCTCAGTAGCAAAGTGGCTAGTACAAAATCATATAGCCAGCAAGTGGTCAGATTCAGATTTGTCTAACTCACATGGCACTACATAGCTTTTTTGAATGTGGTTCTACAGACACTGAGTCTGTTAATAATGAGTAGGGCTTACTGATGGGGTAACCTGTCTTATTTCATATTTCCTCTTTAGACGTTATCATTTTGTGACTCCGAGTTTGTCACTCTCATACTTGAAAGGCAGTTCCCTAGTGCTGGTAAATACCCTTCTTCTGCCTTATAACCTAACACAAAGATTTTTGTTGAATACATTTTATCACATTTACATACCTGATTTCAATTAATGTAAAGTTATCACATTTATATATCAAACTATATTTATACCACCCACTAAAAGTAGTTTATGTATTTTTAACTTTTCTTTGTGCGGTGGATTCCTAGTCTCTCAGATTCGATCCTACCCATTCAGATAATATGCCGAAAATTGTATCTTTATATTTTTATACTCATACAATACCATATAAAGATACATACTTATATAAACATGGGTAGGATATGAATTACTTTAAAAAAATCAGATCATAACATACATACTTTTTTTTTCAAATAAAGAAAAACTTTATTTAGAAAGTAACAGAGAAGAAATAACCTCTGGAAAAAGTGAGCCAGCTGGGCTGTGTGGGCTCAGGAATAAGTTACAGAGGCAAAAGGAGCTTAGGAAAAGCTCCTTGGAGCTTAGGAAAAAGAAAGACAAAGAAAACCAGGTCAGGGGAGGCTGGGGTGAAGGGGATATAAGAAGACTAAATGGTAATAGAAATAATGCAATAAAATTTTTAAAAAACAAGAAAATGGGTCTGGGGGAAGGGAGGAAAAGGTGCAGACATGCTCAAGAGAAAGAAAGAGCACGCCAACATACTTTTAAACATCTTTTATCACTTAATGCTGTGGAAATTCTTCAATGTCTCTTCCTACAGCTCTAATTCTCTTTTCTTCATGGCTAGTATATTTTTCATAATGGTCTGTGGCCTCTAGCTATATCTGCCATCATTTACTAAAACATTCCACTATTGACATGGATTCATTTGATATTGGGGGGTTTTGTTTGTTTGTTCATTTGCCAACATAAATAACCCTACAATAAAAATATTTATCCTTATGTCTTATATAAACTGGTGCTTTTTATTATTTTTAAAATGTTTACTTAATTGATTTTAGAGAAAGATAAAGTAGCGGGGTGGGGCAGAGAGAGAGAGAGAAAAATATAGATTTGTTGTTCCACTTATTTTATGCATACATTGGTTGATTCTTTTATGTGCCCTGACTGAGGATTGAACCAGCGAACTTGGCATATCCAGACAATGCTCTGAGTCACCCAGTCTGGTCAGGTGCTTTTTATTTCTATGGTTTAGATTCTTGAGAACATGATTGCTGGGTTAAAAGATATCTTATTTAAAAATATTTTTAATTTATTGATTTTAGAGAGAAAGGAATGGAGAGATAGAAACATTGACCTATTGTTCCACTTATTGATACATTACATTTGTTGATTCTTGTATGTGCCCTAACCTGGGATCGAACCTGCAATCCTGGCATATCAGGATGATGCACTAACTCAGCCAAGTCCTATATTATTTTTATGATGCATTTTTGCTGGATGGCTTTCTAAAAGCCTGTAGTAATTTACATTCCACAGCAGTATCTGAGAATCCTCTTCCTACAAGTTATCTTTGCCAGCAACTTTGTGCCATTTTGATTATTGCTAGTCTGAGCAGCATCAAGTGATTATTCTCAATTTTATATCAATTTGTATTACTTATTACAAATGAGTTTATTTTTATATTTTAAAATATTTTATTGACTTGAGACAGAGAGATTAATTTCTTGATTTGCTGTTCCACTTATTCATTCATTCGTTGGTTGATTCTTGTAAGTGCCCTGACATTGGCATATTGGAACATTGCTCTAACCATGTGAACTACCTGCACAGAGCAGGTACATTTTATTTTTCACACTTGAGTTTTTAATCTATCTGGAATTTATTTATTTATAAAGGCACAGGAGAAGGGAGCGGGGGAGAAAGGGAGAGAAACATTGATGAGAAAAAAACATTGATTGGTTGCCTCTTGTCTACACTCTGTCCAGGGACCAAACCCACAACCTAGGTATGTGCCCTGACCAGGAATCTAATCAGTCACCTTTTGCTTTGCAGCATGATGCCCAACGAACTAAGCCACACTAGTTAGGCCTGGAATTTATTTTTGGGGTAAATGAAGGATATGGATACAATTTTATTTTCATCTAGGTAGATAGCCATGGCTTCTATTTATAACCATTTCTCATCCTTTAAAAATTTCTATTGCAACATGCTTTTAAGTATTAATGATAGTATATATGTAGAATTTATGAATACATATAAACATATCAGAGCTAGATGCTCAAACATTTTTTAAGCTTAAAGAGGTAATTGATTAAAATGTTTTGGAAACCATTGCACTAGACCATGAGCTCCTTGAGGGCAGTATTTATGGTTTTCCATATCTTTGAATTCATTTGTAAGACTATCTCTGGCACATTGTATGTATTTCAAAAATGGTTGTTAAATAATGGAGTGAATGAAACTGCCATTACCTGATTCATGTATCTGAAGCAACACAGCCATTGAGAAACTTGACATTCCTGCTGTGTTCTGTGGCAAGATATTTGAGGCTAAGAACAAGTAGTGACTCATAATGGCAAGTATAATGGATGGATAACTTCTCTGGTGTCAAGTTCATCTGTTTTTGATATGAGAATATAAACTATTAAAACCTTAAAGTATTCCTTATGGCTTGTAATTCATGGATGCTCATGAAACTGGTAATTATTTTTGTTGTGTGACTAAATGTCCTCCTTTTCTTTTTTAAGATTTTATTTATTTTATTTTTAGACAGGGGAAGGAAGAGAGATGTGTGGTTGCCTTTTACTCACACTCTACTGGGGACCTGACCCACAACCCAGTCCTGTGCCCTGACTGGGAATTGAACCAGTGACCTTTTGCTTTGCAGGCTGGGGCTCAATCCACACATCCCTTATTTTTAGTGTCAGTCATCTACTCTCAATAATGATAGTTTGCTAGGAAAAATGTGTCTATACTTTAATGTCAGAAGTGTGACTATATTTAATTTTAGACTGTGAACTTTTAAAAGAGACTCTACTGAACTTTTATTCAGGACAGTGCCACAAATCTAAGTCATCAATTATTTTTTGGGAAAATCCCAAATGTCTTTTCTTTCTCTAATATACGAAGTAACCTTAACAAAAATAAAAAGCATACTTTCCTGGGTTGATGAGTTATTTTTTCATTTACTCAATCAAATGCCTTTTGCTTCACCTGACTGACTACCCTTCGGACTTTTTATAGCTTTCCACACTTACAATTTCCTTGTTGATTTCTTTTGTTCCATCAGTTAATTGGTCTGGACGATTGTTAACAAACGAGACTGGTATTTCTACCACTGGACATTATGTATCATCTTTTTTCTTTGTATTTTAGAATCAAAGTTCGTTTACAACCACTCCCCTCTTGTGACTTTGGGAAACAGAAACCATGCCAGACTTTCTTTTGCTGTGGGTCAAACAGCGCTAAAGAGACCTTTTCAACAATCCTGGTTGGTGCGGCTCCAACCAGGGTTTAGTGCGGCCTGTGAACCAAAAGAGAACTTTCTTACTCTGCTCCTATTTACTTTCAATGTTTTTCAGAAGGAAGAGGATAATCAAGAACTATATGGAAAGCGGGTACATATGAACAAAAATAAACGTTTGGTTTTTAAATTCATTTACAGATGAATCAAAGTGCTTTGCTGACTGCGCTCCTGGGAAGAAGTGAACGAATTCCAAGAAATGCCTAATACAGAGCTAATGTTCTCGCAAAAACGAAAAAAAAAATTATAGATTATGAATTAAGACTTACAGAAACGAATGAAACATTATGAAACTATTAGAACTGAGAAAGTTGCTAGAGAAAACAAAACAGAACACAACAACACACGTGCAGTTTGAATTTCTGAACACAGGAGCTAGTTCCTCCGGCGCTGGAATGCTGGGAGTTGTAGTTGAGAAAATGGCGAAGATTTCTCCGCTGGAATTGTTTCTTCGCTTATTGCTTAGTGGACGGAAAGGCGTTTAGTCTAATACAGGTTTCTGAGTTATCATTGGATCCTTCCATTCAACCCTTAGTGCATTTCCCTATGTCACCAATGAACGCTTTAGTACAAGAAGGCCTTCATGAATTGGGTAGTTTGTCTCGCGTTGCAATAGTATCAGCCAATCAGAGGACAGAACTGATGGAGGTTTCAGGGTCATGGGGGAGAGTCTGTAGAACCTTTTTCCGCTGGCGCCCTGGGTCTTTGGCTTTTTGAGTAAGTGCAGTTTGGTGTTTATGAGGCCGTGCCTCCGGGTCCCTGTATCTCATCCGTTGGCGTGGCCCTGATGGTGCGGCAGGCTCCGGACTCCTAAAGCGCTGGAACGGTACGTAGGGTCACGGGGTGGCAGACAAAGCGGTGGATACGGGAAGGCCGCGGAAAGCAGACTGCACCAAGTCGGCTGCCGGGGCGCTGTGTGTGCTTTCTTATAAGGACCCAGCAGTGCGTCCCACGATCTCATTAAAGCGCCTTGCTCCCACGTGTCCTGTGAAAATGTTAGCTTTATTCACTTCTCCTTCCCCCGCAGGTCAGATCTTTACGAAGCCTCTGATTGTTAGTGGATGTTATCTCACTTCATCTCTCCAGGTGGTTCTTTGGTAACTGTTAGTTTTGTGCAGCCGCATGCCTACACTGAATAATGACAAGGTTGTGTTTGGCTTCATTTACGTCTCTATTTTAAAAGCTGTTCTTGGGGTGTTGGTGCTGTTAGGAACTCGTTCAAGGTAGTATAATGATATGTTAGGGTGGTGCAGGACATACCCCAGAATCTGGCGGAATAGAAGTCCCCAGGTGATCAGGTGTTCTTGTTTGGTAATTGCCGGTACTCATATCATCTTAAGTTTTACTTTTCTTTGATTTGGACAACCACTCAGGTTTATTATGTGAGGAAAGAGAGGCTCGGAGGAGGTAACCTAACTTCTCAAAAGTTACTGTTAGTTGCTAGTGAGGGGAAAGCCAGATGCAATCCCAATGCTTATGCTAGTTTTAAAAACTCACTTAACTGACTAGATTGTGTATGTCCTCTATTGCTCCTAGTAGATGAGAGCTTCATAATTTGAATTAAGTCGTGAATCTTGGCTGACAGAAAAAAATCTTTCAGACATCTGCCCAGTTATAAGGGTCTCATATCTACCACCTACACTCCTGCCTTCTCACAGTGTGGTTCCCTGAGCAGCATAGCCTCCCTGGAAGTTTATTGGAAATGCAGGATTTCAGTCCTCCCCCGACTTACTAAATTAAATTAGAACCTGCTTTTTAACAAGATCTCTAAGATGATCAGGTTGCTTGTTTAAGTTTGGAGAGTATGCATTGTCTTATAGTGATTTGTCCAAATTGAGCCAAACAAAAAAGAGAAAATAAAAGGCATATAGTATGTCTGTTTGGATTCTGATAAGACTGGAATTGTAAAGACAAAGTTTTTTGTTTTTTTTTTTACTTTTTTTATTTGCGAGTGAGGATATGATTTTTTTTGTTGAATATGTCTGTATTGGCAATTTAAGCTTTACATCCAAAAATCTTAAAATATACATGAATACTTATATATCGAGTGCAATCTTACAATATACATGAATACTTATATAGTATTTCAAAACTACTTGTAAGATAGCAATTGCTGGTCTTAAAAAAGGTGAAACAAAAGAAATGTTAAGTACCACTGCTGACAGTTAAATAAAATTTCAAGAACTTTCTGTTACCCACAGTCTGTGCACAAATTTCCCACCGTAATTTCTTCCCACAATCTTGTTCCAGTTGCTTTGGAAGAAGGGGGTAGATACTACTGGTGGTTTTTCCAAGTTATTAATTTGATTATCTGCTAATAAGACAAACCTAGTTCCAAATTCACTTACCCTCATGTTGCTAGGTACTTAAAGAGTCTTGAAGAATTTTTAATGTTCAGGATTTTATCCAGATGTTCATAGCCATGTTAAAAAGATATGGCATTTATAAAGTTTTAATGGTTTTTATTTGTGCTAGGAATCACCTGGTGTGCTTACTAAAAAAAGTCTTGGGCTTTACCCCCCACAATTCCATTTTAGGTCTGGGGTTGGACCTTGGAATCTGTATTTTAATAACAATCCCACTTTATTCTGTTGGGTGCTACCCAGGTCCACACCTTGGCGTTAGTATTTTAGGTGAAAAATGCAACTAGAAAGGAAGCTTATTTTCTTTTTGTTGCTATAAAATTGCTTAGTTTAGTGAGTTTAAAAATTATTTTGAGATCTGCTAATTTTGGGAATAAGAGGGTAGGATTGGCCCTGGCCAGAGAGCTCAGTTAGTTAGAGTCTTATCCCGGTACTCCAAGGTTGTTGGTTCCATTTCTGGTCAAGACAGGAACAAGAAATAACCAATGGATGCATAAATAATAGGAACGACAGATCATTGTTTCTCTGTCTTGTTTTCCCTCCTTCCATCCCACCTTACCTCCATTCCTCTCTTTTCGCTTAAAAATAAAATTTTTAAAGATTTTATTTATTGCACTGGCTGGTGTGGCTCAGTGAATTGAGTGTGGGCCTGCGAACTGAAAGGTTGCCAGTTCAGTTTCCATTCAGGGCACATGCTTGGGTTGCAGGCCTGGTTCCCCAGGTGGGGGCGTGTGAGGGGCAGCTGATTGATGTATGAAAAATAAATAAAATCTTTATTTTTAGAGAGAGGGGAAAGGAGAGAGAAAGAGAGAGAAACATCAGTGTGTGGTTGCCTCTCACACGCCCACTACTGAGGGCCTGGCCCACCCTTTGGTTCACAGGCCGACACTCAATCCACTGAGCCACACCAGCCAGGGTCAAAAATCAATTTTAAAAAAAGAGGGTAGAGTAGAATGAATGCTAAAACACATAGCTCAGAAACATTTTTCCTGTGAAGGCTAACATTTTTATCAAACAACTTGAGTATTTGTTGTGAAGTTGATAGAATTAATACAGAAACACGAATACATGTATTGGGATTAAAGTTCTAACTTTTTGCATACTTGTTCCATTTTCTTAGCTGTTCTTAAGCTATATAAAAATCAGCTCTGCGAACTCTGCAGTCCACAGATACCAAAAATATTAAAGTAAGAAACAGGAACTTTAATGTTCAGAAGTTCTCTCCTCAAATTTTACACAAGAACTCATCTAATTTAGGGAAGCAAATCACGCTTCTGCCTGCCTTTCTTGCCTTCATTTTAAAAAATATATATATTTTTATTGGATTAGTTTTAGAGAGAGTGGAAGGGAAGGAGAAAGAGAGGGAGAAAAATATCAATCAGCTGCTGCTTGTAGGCAAGCCCACAACCCAGGCACACCCGGTTGACCAGAACCGAACCCGTGACCTCTTGCCTTTCAGTTGACAACCAACTGAGCCTTACCAGTCAGAGCTCTTACCTTTATTTAAGTGGCATAGGAAATGCAGTGCTTGACCACAGCTTTGGCTTCTGCTTGTTATGTTTGGATATGAGATGCCTTATTGTATTACGTACCCTTTCCTATGCATATCCTTATTTGAGCCCTCTCCTTATCACTGGGCTTTGAAGATTGATAGTTCTTTTTTTAATTGGGCATTTTAAAAAGATTTTATTCATTTATTTTTAGAGGGGAAGGGAAGGAGAGAGGGAGAGAAATATCAATGTAATGGTTGCCTCTTGTGTGTCCCCCGCTGGGAAGTGGCCTGCAACCCAGGCATGTGCCCTGACTGGGAATCGAACCGTGATTGTCTGCTTCACAGGCCCATCCTCAATCCACTGAGCTATACCAGCCAGGGCTGAAGATTGATAGTTTTAACTATTTTGACTTTTGTTCATCTCAAAGCAACAGGAAGGCTGTAAGTTTTCAAAGTCTTCCCGCTGATTAGTTTGTTTTCTAAGGACTCTTTAGATGAGAATGGAGCTCTCCAGTTCCAAGGCCAATGTTGTATGTAAAAAGCCATCGCCTATAGTATTTAGTTCTTAACTGTGACTTGGCTCTTGGACATTTGAGCCACTAATTGGTTTCATAGGTTCCATTTTGGATAGGGTTTGTGTTGGTGATAGTACATACAGCTGATAGGTAGCTGGTTTGTGAACAGGGATATTTAGCCTCTTGATAATAGAAGCACCTAAGAGACAACATGCCCCCAATTTTGTCTTACCCTTTGTATTCAGTATACTGTTTTTCTTATTCATTGATTTTTTTTTGAGAGAGAGAGAGAAATACTGGTGTTGTTCTAGTTACTTATGCATTTATTGGTTGCTTCTTGTATATATCCTGACTGGAGATCGAATCCTCAACCTTAGTATATTGGGACGGCGCTCTAACCAACTGAGCTACCTGGCCAGGGGTACTGTTTTTCCTTAAATCTTTTTTTAAATTGCCACAGTAACTAACATTTTCATTTTCAGAAAATTACCTGCCAAATACTACTGTGATAAAGCTCTGTTATCTGAGTCCTTTATTTTGCATTTGCTTGCAGACTTAAAAACTTTACAAATTTAATTTATCTGGAATGAGTTTTTTGAATGTGGTATGGGTTAAAGATCCTTAGTAGTGGTGTTAAAATTCCTTAGAAGTTATTCCAATTTATTGAATAATCTTAGTGGTTTTTATTGATTTTTGGTGCCATGTAACTTAACTTCATTTATTGAGAATATACTGTGTGTCAGGCACCACTCTAAGCCTTTTACATGTATTTTTATTTAATTTGGACAAGACACCATTTAGTACCTGCTGTAACTATCTCCATTTTACAGATTAACAAATAGACAAAGAGTTTAAGTGAGTTGCCTAAAATCAGTTACCAAGTAGTGGAGCCTGCGTCTAACTTACTGAGAGCCTGCTTTCTTATACTAAATGTGTAAATAACTTTCCTGGGTGTAGTATCTTTCCCTCTCTCTACCCCCACCCTAGTCTAGCTGCTTTGCTTGTAATGACCGTACATTTTAATACATGATAAAGCCAGTTCTACTTTATTGTCTTTTTCCTTCACAATAACTTGAATTGCCTTTCCAGAGGTATAATTTTGTATCCATCATCCTTTCTTAGTTGGTAGTGTTATTGAAATTAGCATTAAACTTAGTAATTTGTGGAAAGTATTTGCACCTTTATATTCTTCCTAATGAGGAGTGTGTTGTGTGACTTAGTTAATTGAAATTACTGTTTTTAATGTTCATAGGTGAAGATTATTTTGAAATATTTTGTTTCTTAGACTTTTGTATGTTTAGCATGCTATGTTTTCTAAAATAGTCTCTTCACTTTCATTGGAAAAAGGTATGCTGAATTTAAAATAATTGTATGGCAAGTGGAAAGTCTACTGACCAATTTAGGAGATGGTAAATAAAATTTTAGCCCATTTCTATACTATAGTAACTTTTGTCACCCAGAGCAAATTATTTAACTTCTCTGTAACTGTGACTGTTTGACTGTTTACTTAACTGTTAAATGAATCAACCTTCATTCTTCTGAAGGTGGTACACTCAGAGATAGACTGGTGTGCTTAGATTTAGTTCAGATTCACTGTGACCTCCTTAACTCCACTGGCATGAGGCCCAGGGTGAGATAGCCTTCTTGGTTTCTTGGTTCACAGCCTTCTTTGACTCTTTCCTTTTCCTTGTGGATTTTATCTTTTGTAGACTTGATTTGCTGGGTTTTGTTCATAGATGAATAAGAAAGAAAGCTGTCAGCCAGCCCCTTTTCCCTGAGGTGGGACTTAGGCTCCAGAAATGTTCTAGGGGAAGAAAAGCACTTGGCAGTGAACAGTTTGAGAAGTGTGGCGAAGGTTACCAGATTGAACTGTAAAGGTCTTGTTTGTTGTGGTATGTACTAGTGTTAAAATATGTATTGCTAAAATAATTTATTAGAGTATTGAAGATGACATATGTTCTTTAAACATTGTGCACACATAAAAAAAACTTGACTTTTATTTTGGTCATCTCTTTATGTTCATTTTACTTTAAACCAGGGGTGTCACACTCATTTTCACTGGGGACCACCTCAGCCTTGCAGTTGCCTTTGAAGGGCTGAATGTAATTTCAATTCCTTAACATTTAAGGAGTAGTTACAGTTATATAGTCCTAAAATTATTTCAGCCCTTTGAAGGCAACTGTGAGGCTGATGTGGCCCCCGGTGAAAATGAGTTTGACACCCCTGCTTTAAGCTATGGAATTGCCCATTCTTTTTTGTGATTTAGATTTACCTGTTTCTTTTTAAAGGTGTTGTAATCCTGATTACTTACTAAATGCCATAATATACTTCAGCCTAGAACTAATTTTGCAAACTGTTTCTACAGAATTTAAGAAGATTTTGTCCATGTGTATGGCATAGAAGATGAATTCTTCTTCCTCCACCATGAATGAAGAACCCGATGCTCTATCGGTAGTTAACCAGCTGCGGGATCTAGCTGCGGATCCATTAAATAGAAGAGCCATTGTCCAGGACCAGGGATGTCTGCCTGGCCTTATTTTATTTATGGACCATCCCAACCCCCCTGTTGTCCACTCAGCTTTGCTGGTAAGTCACCTTTAGTAGTTTCAATCTCAGAAACTCTCAGTGTTGTAATTTTGTAGTTAAGGAGAATATGAAGAAGTGTTAGGTGACATGCTAAAAAATTAAGTGACTGTAGAGCAAATAGTAGTAAGTCTATTTCTGTATATGCAAATATATACGTGTGTGACTAGCCCTTTTACAGAAATGATAGCATGCTACATGGAGACATTACAACAAGGCAGTTAATTGTTTTGTTTTTGTTTTGTAACAGCTGTAGTAAGATCTAAATTGCACCATACAATTCACCTATTTAAAGTGTACAATTCACTGGTTTTTAGTATATTTGTAGAGTTGTACAGCCATCACCACAATCAGTTTTACAACATTTTCATCACCTCAGAGACTCTACTCTTCACATATTCCTCATTTTTCCACCCTGCTTCCCCAAGTGGCCACTACTTTCTGTCTTTCTCTGTTTCAGCAAAAATGTCTATATATTTTTAATATACATATACATAAAACCTTATATGTGGTCTTTGTGACTGTTTTTTTCACTGAGTATAATGTTTACCACACTGCAAAATAAATCAGTACCTTATTCCTGTTAATGGCTGAATAATATTTCATATAGGGATATGCCACATTCTGTTGGCATAAATGATGAAAGGATAAATTTTTCGGTGGGCGAATTATATTGTTTTGATACACAGTGGGAAAGAAAGATAAAGGAAAAGAAAATTATAAGGATCATAACTAATAATACAGAAGGAACTCCCCTGTTATGAGAAACTTGGGGGCTAGAGAAACATGTTAAAGAACAATAGCTGACAATCAGGCAAATACAGAATGTGGTCATTTCTGGAGTACAGATAATCTGGTTCTATAAATAATAAATAGCTTTAAAAAGAAAGCCATTTGGGGTGGAGCAGGGGGATAGCAGTAACTTATAAATTAAAAGAGACTTAGGGGACATATCATCTAGGTGTAATATGTGAACCTGATTTTGATCCTGATTTGAATCAACCATAAACATACTTTTAGATTGCTTGAAATGAATATAGATCAGATAGTAGATGATATTAGAGAACCATTAATACCTTTGCAGGGTAATGATAATAGTATGATAACATTAAGTTAATAAAAAACCCATTAACTTCTCAGGGATGTACTGAAGTATTTACAAATGAAAGTATGTGTTCTCTGAGATTTGCAATAAAATATTCCAGTGTGGTTTCGGGCAAGGGACATAGATGACAAGATTGCCAAGTGGCTGATACTTGTTGCATCTGAATGATGGGTACATGAAGGTCACCACACATTTTCCTCTCTACTTTTCTAAAATTTTCATATCAAAATGTCTAAAAGAAAATTAGTGTAGAACATTTTAAAGTCATCGTCCTTAACAACCCATGATAAATTCCCATTTAGTCTTAATTTTACAAGTTCATAGAAAAAATACAGGCTTTTCCTTTTTGAAATTCAAACGACATAATACATATTTCCTATTTTACCTTCATAAAATGAAGTTTAACGGGCAAAACACATTATATAATGAATAGTAGTAATGGAAAATGTTATGGTCCCTAGTCTTGGTCCTTTTTCAATAAGAATTGCAGTAAGAATGAGAAGAGAGTGTTGGTTTCTATGTAGGGACTTGGGGTGAAGGAATTTTTTTTTTTTTTTTGAAAAGCAAACTAGACTCGAACCTTTCAATCCAGAAAGCAAGGGGTCTCAAGAATGGGAGAAGTCTCATAATTACATAAAATGGGAAAGGTTACCAACCAGGGAGAATGGTGGGACTGTTCACAGGGGTTGAGGGGCTGATTAGTTTGGTAGTGCTGAGTTGATAAAATACTTATGGCTTATGAAACTCCTTTCTCACACCCCTTCAGTTCTACTATAGGCCCCGAGAGCCAAATAGTTGGATTTGTTTAGGGTTGTTCTCGCTTCTGTAAGTTGGACAGAACAACTATGGGAGAGAGTGGAGGATTTTTGGCAAGGGAATGGTTGAAATGATAGGCCGTAGCTGTTAGGCTGAATAGGAAGGTAAATCAAATCATGAGGGGACAGAGCTAAAGAGAAAGTAAGAGGAATCAGTGGTGGGTGCAAGTTCCTAAGGAGATTGAGAAACAGGTGTGGTGTTTTTATAATTTCATCCTCAGGGCTTATTAGCTGTACCCTTTTTATTAAATAAAAGGTTTTTGTGATCACTCTAGGTTTATAATATGCATCATTAACTTAACCAAAATCTGCCTTTGAATAAATCACACACTTCTGTATGTTGTTAGAAGCATACAACAGTGTATTTCCATCTCCTCCCCTTGTCCTTTGTGCTGTTTTTTGTTATACACTTTACATATGTTAAAAAATCTACAGCCCTGGCTGGTGTTGCTCAGTGGATTGAGTGCCCGCCTGTGAACTGAAAGGTCACTGGTTCCATTCCGGGTCAGAGCACATGTGCGGGTTGTGAGCTAGGTCCGGGGCTGGGGCCACGCAAGAGGCAGCTAATCCGTGTATTTCTCGAACATTGCTCTTTTTCTCCCTCTCATGCTCTCTCTCTTCCGCCCTCTCTAAAAGTAAATAAATTAAATCTTTTAAAAAAAAAATCTACAGTACATTTTGCTTTAAACAGTTATCTTTTAAGGAGATTAAAATTTTAAATCAAACATATTTTATATTTATCCTCATATTTACCATTTCTAGTGTTCTTCAGTCCTTTCATATTGATTCACATTTCCATTGGTGTCCTTTTTATTCTGCCTGGGGAATTTCAACATGTTTTGTATTGCGGGTTTGCTTTTTCTAAAGGTGCTTCTTGTCTGGCCCATATGATTTCTAATAAGACTTTTGTAATTCTTTTGTTTGTCCCAATCTATACAATGCTTTTTCCTGGCTTTTGTGAGTTTATTGCTGGTTTTCAGTAAATGATTATGATGTGCCTGAAATGGATGGCTGTCTTTTTATTTTTTTCTGCTTGGGATTTGTTGAGCTTCTTGGGTCTGTGGGTTAATAGTTTGAATAAATATGGGGAAATTGTCATTTATTACTTTTTCAAGTGTTCCCCATCTCCTTCCTCTTACTCCTCTGAAACTTCAGTTATATGTCTTTCATGTCAACCCACAGGTCACTGTTGCAATGCTTCTTTTTTCTTTTGTCTTTCCCCCTCCTCAGTGCTTCATCTTGGGTAGTTTTCATTGCCTTTTAAAGCTCACTGATCTTTTTTTCTGTACTGTCTAATATGCTATTAATCTTATCCAGTGTGCTTTTTATTTCAGATAGTATGTTCTTGTCCTCTAGAAGTTACCGTTGGGTCTTTTAAATATCTACCAGTTTTTCCTCGCTGTGCTCCTATTTTCTTACTCATCCTTGAGCATATGGAGCATAATTAATTAATTAATTTAAAGGTTTATTATAATTTCATTTGACAGAAGGGGGGAGAGGGAGGAGAGAGAGAAACTTCAATGTGAGAAACACTGACTGGCTGCCTTTTGCATGTGCTCCAACTGGGGATTGAGTCTGCAATCTGGGCATGCACCCTGACCAAGAATCGAACTGGTGACCTTCTGGTTATGGGACTACGCTTCAGCCAACTGACCCATGTTGGTCAGGGCTGGAGCATATTATGATATGCTGTTTTGTTTTCTAATTTTCTCTTATTTTTCTAATTCCCTTTTTGTCATATGTAGGTCTGTTTTTATTGATTATTTTTCTCCTGGTTATGGATCATATTTTCATGCTTTTTATACCTCGTAATTTTTTAAAAGATTTTATTTATTTACTTTTAGAGAGAGGGGAAGGGAAGGAGAAACACCAGTGTGTGGTTGCTCTTGTGTGCCCCCAACTGGGGACCTGGCCTACAACCCAGGCATGTGCCCTGACTGGGAATCGAACCAGCAACCGTTTGGTTTGCAGGCCCTTACTCAATCCACTGCTACACCAGCCTGGGCCACTAGGTAATTTTTAATCAGATGTCAGACATTACAAATTTTATAGGTTTGGGTTTTTGTGGGCATTTTTGTATTTCTATAAATACTCTTGTACTTTGTTCTGGGTTACAGTTAAGTTACTTGGAATGAGTTTGATCCTTTCCAGACTTGTTTTGAAGCTTTGCTGAGTGAGTCCAAAGCAGCCCGTATTCTATGACATCACTAGTAAGGGGAGGCTCTTCTGAGAATTCCCCCTGACACTTCAGTACATATGAGGTCTTTTCACCCCTGGCAGGCAGTATCACAAACTCTTCCCAGCCAGTGTGAGCTTCAGGCATTGTTTTCCCTGTTTTCTGGTGGCCTTTTACCCCCCAAGCATGTGCAAGCCAGTATTCAACCAAAGATTCTTAAAGACCCTCAGGAGATCTGTGGAGGGAGTGCTGTTGCTGTGGAGGTCCCTCCTCTTTGTTATTCTGCTTTGCAAGTTCTAGCCTCCTGGGGTGTTTTCTGACACCAGCCAATTCTCCATCTTCTGTGGACACCAGCTGGTGTTCAACAGTTCATTTTAATTTTGACACTACCTGGAGCTGCTAAACTCCCCAGGTTTAAGGTTCAGACCCACAAGACTGCCTTCCCTTCAAAGGTCAGTTGCAAGTATTCAGTCACCCATATTTCTTACTGAGCAGCTATAAATTGGGTATTAGATTTTACCCTCTCCTCAGGCTCAAGAACTCATGGAGTCACTTTATTTATGTTTACTAGTTTATTTTAAAGGATACACATGAACATGTACATAGGTCAAAGTTAGGAAGGGTGCTGAGTACAGGACCTTTTGTCCCTGTGGAGTTGGGAATCTACCACCCTCCTGGCAGGTGGATGTAGTTACCAATTCAGAGACTCATCTCCTGTTCAGTAAGACACCTCTGCCACCCAGAAAATTCCAAGGGTTTTAGACGTTTTGTGGCAGGAACTAGACAGAAACCAAATATTTACTTCTTAGTATAGTGTACCACGCCAACCTCCCCAACTCTGATCTCTGACCTCCTAACTCAACAAGACCAGTGGGCTACATTCGGGCTCCCGCTCCCTGTGCTACACTCTTGAAACTGCCTCCAAAGCAGTAGATGAAGCAGTTGTAGAGCCCACTTTGTCATTTCCCTTCTCAGGGATTATAATTCTGTGCTGCCTCTTGTCCTGGTTCTTAGTTTATTATGGAAGGACAGCAGTTCCCATGGCAGTTAATCCTCTAAGGACTGAAGTGAAAATCAAGGTAGAAGTTGCAGAAAGGAAAGGAGATTGTAGTCAGAGAGGTTGTTGGATTTGTGGTTGCATAGATGGTATCATCTTTGGTAAAGAACCAGCATTGTGGAGTTGAAGGGTAGAGGACCAGTAGAAAAGGTGGAGGTCAGTGAACTGAGATGGCTGAGTTGTAGATGGTGTAGTTCACAAAGGTATTGTTCTGGAAATCGAGCACCAAAGTCTTTGGTGAATGTGAGAGATTAGGAAGGAGGTCTGTAAACCAGCTAATGAAATCCATAAAGAATCAGCATGTGAAGGAAATACTTGCAAAATGTACTTTACAAGGAGAGCACCCTAGAATAAATGAACTTAGAAAGTAGAAATTTGTGAGGTGAATTCATCTTTTTGCTCCTCAGTTAAAAAAGAAAAAGACATTTTAAAGGTGAATTGTAAAACAAGAAGCATTTGATTCCATAAAGGTGGTTGTGTGGTTTGTTCCCCTCAGCAGTTTATTTTAATTTAAATGTGAAAAGCACCAAGGGAAATGATGGCTATAGGGACTACTTCCTGAAATTAATAAATGAAATATTGTTCCTTGTATCCTTCACAAGATGAAGTGGTGAAGATAAAGCCAGAAACAAACTAAATTTGACCTTGCAGATAAGTTAGGAACCTTCATTTCAAAGAGCAGAATCAGCTACTTCAGCTCAAAGGATCATTTCTCCCGTAGGGGACTGCTCTGATTATCACGTTTAAAGAAGAGTTTCTAAACACTTCAAAGCCAGTTGATTCTAAAAACAAAAGGCTATTTTTTCTCTGTTTTTTTTTTTTCTCTTGCAGTAAGTTACTAGTGGGTTTACTTTTGAATAGTCTGGACATGTGAATTAATGTGTTACTGTTTCTGCTGTAGGCGCTCCGGTACTTGGCAGAATGCCGTGCTAACAGAGAAAAGATGCAGGGAGAACTTGGTATGATGTTAAGCTTGCAAAACGTTATACAGAAGTAAGTACAATGGTGTCTCCCAATGCTGTAGAAACATGGATCTTCTTGTGAAATGTGTCATGATGTTTAACATATAATTTCATTGAAATTTTTATTCTGATACGGGTTTCATGTCCAAACATGTTGTATTGGTCAATATTCTTATTATTCTTAAAAATGTTTTCATAATAGTCCTTATGAAAATGTCCAAATTTTAATTAAAATGTTGGTGAACACTGTACTTAACAAATATTTTTTAAAAAGAGAAAATCTTACATTGTGTGAGGGTTTATAAAGTAAATTGAATTGCTAGCACAGCCACACAGGTGAGTAATCACATTTGGAAATAGGCAGCACAAAATTTTGTTACTTCCTCCCAGTCCGACTGAGAAGATCAGTATCATGGCAAAAAGGGCCTCTGGCGAGATTTCCCTGACTGTCCTTCACTGCCTCTCACTTAGAACTGTTTAATTTGAATTTTAGCTAATGGGCGGTTTATAATTGTATCTTAAATCTTACAAAGATTTTAATAACATTTATTGTCTCATTTTGTTACGTACAACTTTTTGAGGTTGATTAGACAGGTAGCAGTTTTATGGGTGAGGAAAATACTGAGAGGCTGTTACTTGTCTGTGGGCCTTCAGCTGTGTGGCCTCTGGGGGTATATGGTTTGCTCCTTTCTTAGTCCTTGCTGATTTCTTTGTAGAGGCTAGAAATTGAAGACTTAGTGTTTTGATATTTCCACTGTGTCTGGAAGGAAAAAGGTAAGCTTTCTGAGGCTTTATTTTTAGTTTACTCTGTATCTCAATTGAATATGATGAGATGACTGCCTTTAAAACTTAAGTAATTACTTAACTTGATGTTTTAAAACTTACCTTGCAGTTTCTTTGTCTTGAGTGACTGTTCTTTGTCTTCGTCTTAAGAACAGTTAGTTCTTATTTGTACTTGCCAAATGCTACAAACTAAATTGTATCAGTGAAGAATCATTTAAACTGACCTCCAAGGCAGTGTTTTTTGGTTTTGTCTTTTTTTCTTTTGAGTGTTTTTGGCTTCTAGATAAATTTTATTTTGTTTACAGATCACTTAAATATTTGTTTTCATGAATTCAGCTACCTGATAGACTAGTTCTTTGGTCCTTTGATCTTTGATAATGACAAGATAGAGACTGAAGGTTTTTTTGTTTTTATTTAGGCAACCATTAGGAATAAATAAACTATTGACTGCCATCAAATGTGTTAATCATTCCAATGGTTTGAAGCCAGTTCCATTAGTAAAGATTTGGATTCTGGTTCTGATTTGAGGCAAATAATTTTTTTGCCCACCAGTTTCCTCATCTCTAAGCCACAAGTAACACTTGCAAAGTAATTGAGACTCCAGTGGGATAATATATGTAGAAATGCTTTGTAAATTCTAAAGTGTTATATAAAATAGAATGTTGCATTATTCTTATTTGTAGTATACTTAAATGCCCTATAGTTAACAATTTTGAACTGGCACATTTAGTGCTATTGGATACAGTGAAAGGTTTAAACATAATATGGATGTTTCTTTAGTGCTATTTTATCCATATGATGAACTTGGAAGGTTATGTATTCCTATAATAGGTATAGTTATTAAAGTTGAAAATATGTGGTAAAAATTTGAAATGTTAAGAGATTAGATAAGTCCTGGCTAGTATGGCTCAGTGGATTGAGCTCCAGCCTACAAACTGAAAGATCACTGGTTTCATTCCCTGTCAGGGCATGAGCCTGGGTTGTGGGCCGGGTCCCCATTTGGGGGCAAACAGGAGGCAACTAATTGATGTTTCTCTCACATATTGATGTTTCTCTCCCTTTCTTTTTCTGTCCCTTATCCTCCCTCTGAAAATAAATAAATTTCTTCTTCTCTCTCCCTCCCTTTCCTTCTGTCTAAGAATAAATAAGTAAAATCTTAAAAAAAAAAAGAAAAAGAAACTAAGCAGGTAAGAAGAACAGAGACAGAATTGTAGATAGGGAGAATTTTTATGATGGTTGCTACATGGGAGGGGTTGCGGGAGAATGGGTAAAGAGGTGAGGGGATTAAGAAGTACAAATAGGTGGTTACAGAATAGCTATGGGGGAGGGATGTAAAGTACAGTATAGGAAATGGAAAAGTCAGAGAACTTATACACATGTCCCATGGACATGAATAGTGGTGTGAGGCTTGCCTGACAAAGTGGGGGGTGGTGGTTGAAGGGGTGCAAAGGGGGAAAACTTGGGACCACTGAAACAGCCTAATGTATAAAATACAAATATAAAAGGAAAAAATAGGAGGAAGTCTGCTTGTATCCTTATAAGAGAAGTGGGTTGTCAGTGTAGGTTATTGTGGGCAGGAGAGATGCATTAAGAAATGGAAGTGGTTTATTGAGGGGTGAGGTCTGTAAGTAAATGAGGATGAATAAGGTTGGACTACAGTCTTCAGATTACAGTGCACATTGACATCTGTAAAAGAAGGTAGAGAGGACTGAATGAGATGAGGAGGGTCTCAGATTGCAATGCAAGTTGGACCGCTAACACAGTGGGGAGCTCCAAAGCAAGGTTTACCCTGTAGGTGAGTTCTCATTAGACAGAAATAGCCACACCCTGGTGCCCCCATGATTCAGTCTTTGGCTTGGGCCTGCCCTGGAAGAGCTAGGCCTTGGAATGAAGGATTGAAAGGTGGGTTGATGAATACAAAGCCACCACATTTGGTGGCTCTACTGGTGGACTTCTGCAGCTGCAAGGCATATATCTTTGTTAAAGGAAAATCCAAGCATTGTATCTTCATGGCTAACACTAGTGGCTTATCTTTTCAATTGAAATAAGGTATTTTTGTTAGGACAGTGTGGTAATTGTTGTTGGCTCCTCCAGTAGTAAAAACAGATGTACCTCTGTTATACTCTCCATTATTATAATTGGTCCTGTAGCCCTTTCAAAAGTGGAGATATGATGTAATAGTTTTCATGTACATTTTACAGATCATTTGGCTATTAGAGATCTCAGATTTGAAGGTTGCCTTTCAAGCTTTTAAAAAGTCACCTCTGTTTACCATAATTACCATTTTAGAAGTTTGTATGTTTAAATGTTAAAAGTATGTATTTTGGCTTGTAAACATTAAGACTGGATTTGGCATCCCATTTTTATATGGGTCACCTTGACAGGCTGTAGCACAAATGATGAGTGTTCTGTACTCTTAATTGTTTTCCTTGGTGTGACAGCCAGCCAGTGATGCGGCAATTCGTACAGGATCTCTCTGTTTAAGAGTACTGACTTAGGGGGAGATTTAGCTGTGACTGCTTGGAATTATGCAACTAAGGAAGTATAAAATAGATCTCCCCATATCCCAGAAAGAGCCACAGAACAAGGAAAATCTGTTGCGAAGGGATGCTGCTTTGAAGAGAAACTTTCTATTTGACAATGATCAAAGGGGAGACTAAAAAGCTGAAGTAGGTAGGGAGAGTGGAGGTTATTCTTCACATAGGAAGCAGAGAACAACGTTTTATAAAATAGGAGAAATTCTGCATACTAAGAGTTTCATGCCCTTTAATCACCGTATTATGTTTTGCTGCAGAATGTTGCTGAGATTTTTAATGGGTTATTCAACAGCAGATTTTACTTGTGTTGAGTGGTGCTTATAGATCAACAGTTGGACTGTTGCTTTTGGTTCTTTAATTGTGAAGAGAATTTGAAGTTCTCTGTTACTCAGAATGAATCTGGCTTTATGTCCTAATTTTAATCTCTTCCATAAATAAAATCTTGTCATTAGAGATAAGAACCTTTTTACATTTTATTTTTAGTCCTGGATCCCTAGGTAAAGAGAATTTTCAAAATGTCAACATAGAACATAAGCTAGTTTAAGACATTTGTTCATTAGTATTTCAGGAGTAATACTTCTGATATAAGATGCATTTTATATAAGTACTTGTGAATATCTAACATTAAGTATACTATAAATAAAAACCACTTTAATAAAATATGGCATCACAACTTTAAAATCTCATTTAACCTGGAGAACTTTCTAAAATTCTAGATTTTGAAAAAATAAATGGTGGTCTATTCCTTTTGTTAAAATCTTGGATAATAAGCATGTGCTTTCATTTCTTTTTTTCTGTGTTCCTTTTTAGAATATCATTTTAAAATCTTATTGCAAGTATATAGTATGTGGTTTATTTGTAAAAACTAAAAATTACAAAAAGGAAGAAAACCCATCATGCCAATTATTTTCATTTACATATATGATGTCAGACTTACAGAAAAGCTATAAAAGAGTACAACTATGCCTTAGTACCCTACATTTGATTCCCCAAATTTGAACATCTTAACATGTGCTCTACCATTTAACTTTATCGTTCTTTCTCCATATATATTTAGTTCGTGTATATTCATAATTTTTATATTTATATATATATATCTTTTCATTGTGAAGTCTGTGTTTTAAGATTAAACAAAAGTATGCTTTGTCGTGTTTGCTGCTTGGATTTGGGGTTGGAATTCTACTTTGTTTGATATCAGCACACAACCTCTGTTTCCATTATTTCTACATTTGCCTATTCCTTTATTTCTGAATTAGTTTAACTGTGCCTTGTTTTATGAGCCAAATTGAAAATCTTTTTTAAAGTGCATTTATAGTTGTTGACCAATGTATTTCATTTTAATTCATTTTTGTAGCATTTAACCTTGTATATTAAGTGATAATAGTTTTTCTCTGCATGATGTTTTATTTTGAAAATTCCTTCTGATAGAAATATTTTTCTTACTGTTATAGTGGTTGCTTTTGTTGCTTTTTAACAGTGTAACTGTTAAAAAATGTTTTCAGTTGACTGTTTTAATTAAACTTCCACTGTCTTGCTTTTTAGTTTTTAATGGTAATCTTTTGACTTCCACCTATTATGTGTTCCATAGTCATTGAGTTTTTTTATGTTTTCCTCTTTTCTTCTCCCATCTCCCTTCTTTAAGTTGCATTATTCTACTGTCAGAACATTTAGATATTCTTTCATTCTCTTTTCCACCTTTGACTTAAACTTA